GGGTTAGAATTAGATCCAGGGGTGGGTTTCTCGCCCCGTTCCAACCAGTTCAGTTGGAACGGGGCCGGCGGCATCCTCGTGCACGCGCGCGGTGCATGCATGCGTACTAGCGTCTGTGCGATGCTCCAGCTGCTCCTGGAGGATCGCGCAGGCGCTGTATGTGTCCTGTGGAAGCGTGGAAGCGCAGAACTTATCAAAACCGGGTAAGGAGCGCGGGCGGGCGTGTGGGCCAGTCGCCGTTCCCGGAAGTTACTTACTTCCGGGTTCGCTGACCAACCGGTTCACAGGGAGCGCCGCGAACTGGTTGAAACCCACCCCTGGATCTAATTCTAACCCATGGGGCCACCCTGGAAACAGTGAAGGAGCGGCCTGCAGTGTCACTGCCAGAAAAAACGGAGCTTGCAAGAGGGTTTCAGGAGGGGGTTGCAGCCGAAAACGGAGCTCGGGAGCCATTTTCGCTGACAGAGCGCTCATGCCACCTCAGGCACCCCCAACACAAGCGGTGGAGATGGCCACGCCCACCCTGGCCCCCTGAGATCAAACACAACCCAGATGTGGCCCTTAATGAAATTGAGTTTGACACTTCTGCACTAGCCTCAGAAAAACCCAGTTTATAACCCAGTCATTGCACTTAATGGCTATTGGATAGCAATTTGGTTGCCTGGCCACCACATTGGTTATATGGTCACATATAACTTTGCAACTTTCCTAGCCAGTTTCCAACAAGCAGCTTCAACTGGGGAAGCTGGATTCACTTAACGACCACAGTGAAAATGGTCATGAAATTGGGTCCAGTTACGTGAGGATTCACTTTACAACTGCTGTGACTAATGGCAGAAATTATGATTTTAACTGTGATCCTACATCAATAACTATGTCTAATGTAGTCCCTCAAGATGAAAGCATTTCCATACATTTAAAGTGTGAACATTGAATGTAGATTACCATGTATGTCAATTCCCATTAAGGATACCAGGCGAAATGATAAGTTGAAAAAAAGCTTTTGAGAGAAAATATACAGTACAAGAGGATGACTGTTCCAAAAATGATAAGGGAAGTGTACAATGTGTATAGAAAGCAAAGAACAATTGTAAATTGCACTAACAATACAAAGCTATTTTGATAGAACCAAAATAAAATCTTTTCAGGAAAGGAACCTCTGGCAGAATGAATATCAATTAAAAATGGAAGTGATGAAAAGTTTGGAGATGAAATTGAAATGTGGAAAACCAAATAGGCATTTCTATGAGAATACGGGTGAAAAATAAATAGAAATTCAGTTTAGTGTTTAAGGAAAAAAAATAGATGAAAGGGAGTACATAATTACTGTGGGTCTACTGAAAAATGGCAAGGCTGACATGTACAAAATATATCTGGAGAAATGTTAAACGTGGGTTTGGTTTTCTTGAAGTGGTTTGCAATTTCAGGGTGGACAAGGGATGCATCTAAAAAATACTATTAAGCAAAGTTGCCTCCTCATGAGTAGCCTAGCTGACTGGCATTTGTGCCTGTCTCCTTTCTGCTCTGCTGTGTCCTTGGATCAGGAAGGGTGGAGTCCATTGTGTCCTCATTGCTAATGGGCAGGAGCTGCTCCGTCCTGCCAGGCCAATTGGCTGTGGCTTGCCACATTCACACTCAGCCTGTTGCTTCTCCGATTGTCCAAGCTGAGGCTGTTCCAAACACTCTCCCAACTCAATGCTGGGCTCTGTGCTTTCCTCTAACTCACTCTCTTATAAACTAAATCCGTGATGGTGAACCTATGGCACGTGTGCCACAGATGGCACATGGAGCCATTTCTGAAGCACGCAAGGAGTTGCCCTGTCAAGCTCCAGCACATATGTGCGTGCTGGCCAGCTGATTTTCGGCCTTGATTTTCGTCCGTTTTTTGGCCTCCCCAGGCTTCTAGAAAGCCTATGGAGCCTGGCGAGGGCGAAAAACGGACCTACCAGGCCCACCGCAAGTCAGAAAATGGGCTGCTTCCATCTTCCGGAGAACCTCCGGAGGGGACGGGGGCATTTTCGCCCTCCCCAGGCTCCAAGAAAGCCATGTGTGCATGCGTGGGGCAGCGGTGTGTGTGTGTCACATGCACATGCACAGGGGGAATGGCACAGGGGAGCATTAAATTGTGGGGGTGGGCACACAAGAGCGTGCAGTAGCGCATGCATGCTTTCGGCACCTGAGGTGCAAAAGGTTCACCATCACTGAACTAAATTATTAATGCATCTTAAATAGAAAACTATGTTTAGATAAGACTTTTACTCCAAGATCATTTTATTAAAATAAATTTGATTTTAAAAAAAACCAATTTAAATTTTTTAAAAATCCAATTTAAATCTAAAAAAATCCGATTTTTTAAAAAAAATATCATGATTTTTATCTACCCTGCTTTGCATGGAGAGTGGCTTCAGCAAGGAATCTTCCAACAGTGCTCCAAGGATGAGCCAAGGAAACATGCAAGTCTCCAGTCCTGTGGGAACATTCCCAAAACTTAAGACAGCTCTGCCGTGATCAGCACAATCCTCATAAAATCATCTTTTCCCCGAGTTGCATTTTTTCAAGCATAGCGCAAGCCCTCAAAACACAGGATGGAGAATTGGATCTGCACAGCGTATTAAGAGTACATCACAATTGGCTGAGTCCTTTCTGATTCAGGGTGACATGGAACCTCATCTTCACATGCGTGACCCAGGACACTAAGTGAAGCTCTGTTTAATCTACTGGTTTGGCCACAAGATAATGGATGGAAACTGAATGAGATTCAGCCTAGAAAGTTTTTTTCTGAAAGTGAGAACAATCAACCCATGGAAGAGAAATTGCCTTTAGAAGTTGTGGGAATTTCATCCCTGAACGCTTTCTGCTGTCAGAAATGGTGTATGTAGGGTCTCCTGCTTGGGCAGGGGGTTGGACTACTTGACCTCAAAGGTCCCTTCCAAGTCTGCTAATCTGTCTCTTTTTCTGAACTTGCATCTGGAGAGGGGTTTGGAGACAGATCCATAACCCAAGGTTAAGAATAAAAGGCAATGAAGAAGTAGGGAGAGGCATCTATAGTGGATACAATGACAGAAATATGGAGAAATATGAATGCTGGAATGAAAGAGATTTAGGTATATTTATCTTGTGCCTTAATTTCTTTGGATTACTATTTTTTACTCTGATGACTAGAACAGTGGTGTGAAACCCAAAGTGTCATGTGAGGTATTGTGACTTTTTTCCTTCACTAAACCGGGCGTGGATGACCAGTGTGATGCATCTTGCCCACAGGCAGTAAGTTTGAAGTTAAATGTTTACATTAAATGTTTACATATATACATATATACACACATACATGTATGCACATAGTATGTATACAGAGAAAGCATAATTGGGAATGTTGAAAATAGTTGTACCTTCCACAAAGTTAACAAACTAGACTGATACAATTATCTTAAAATGTTCCAAAGCTTTTTTTTTCTTATGTGGAAATTAACTAATATTAAATGGCCTATTAATAGCCTAAATACAGAACATTAGTTTACAATTAAACCTCTGTAATTGTTAATGATCGCCTCCCCCCCCCCCAAAAAAAATATCAAGACAACCAAGACAATGCTATAATGTTAAGTTTTATTGTTCTACACCAGAGTATAAACAATAGATGCATCATAATTCTTTTCTGGGTTTCAGAAAGATTTCTGCAAAAAGAAAAATTATACTCATGAAAACATAAAGAATGACCCAGGCTAGAAAGTATCTGTGTTATAACTAAATCCTATGCCATTTTATTCAGATACAAGTTTCAGCTCAATGGGTCTGACTCTTCTTTTTGTGCAACCTGCAACCCTACACACACACTTTATATCCTGGGTGATAGATTGTGTTTGAGATTGAAGCCCTGTCACTTATGAATAGAGTTCCTCTTGATCTATGCTTCTCTTTACAGTAGGCTACAAATCTGTAGAGAACTCTGGAAAGCACTTATTCCAAGAACTGATTTTGATTTCAAAAATAGTATAACAGCCTGATGGTTCTCTGTAAGAGATCCACTTCTCTCTATATATAGATATCAACCCTTCTATGCTGTCCAGTTTGAGAGTGTCATTTAGAAATCCCTTTCTTCTCCATTATAAAACTAAGATAAAGATACCAGCCCGCCTAGCTTTTTTCTTGGGATCCCTGCATAACGTATCATTTCTTAGGCAGTGAAAAAGTTCTTGTAGATCACATCTCTTCTAGGCACTGCAAAAGAAATCACCAAATATCCCCGGCCTGGTTCTCTGTATAAATCAACACTACAGAGATCAAATCTAAGTATGCATCAAAAAGGCGAAAGGAATTTCTTTTCAAGTCTCACACAAGTTTCAATTGTTTTTCTTCTGTCCTGGAATGTAAAGTGTATGTTATACTCAGTGAAGCTACACATTTGTAACAAAAAAAAAAAAAAGAAAAGAAAAAAAGTTTGTTGCAGCAAAAGGTCCTTATCAACACCGCTCATTCTGACTGACATATCATTATCAATAATCTCGTAGGTCATTCTCCAGCCCATATATCTTTGACTTTAAGCTTTTAAGTTCTCCTTGTAGCTTTTTGGTTCTCTTATTTCCTCGGCGAACTTCATGCAGAATTGCAAGATCTTGGTCGGGTCCCACATTCATCACCACCTAGAAAGAAGAGCAATTTCAAAGAAAGAACAATTTGATTTCGGAAAAGGAATATAGAAAGTTTTCAGTAGATTTTATTGACCGACTGACTGGAAGGACATATATGGTTGCTCATCTCAAGTACAATAATTTTGGGCGGCTCACAAAAACACCAGTAAAAATGGAACCAGAAACAATGGAACTACCATCAAAAGATAGTTCCTAGGAACACCCCCCCCCCAAACACTCTTTCAGACATCAACATTTTAACTATTAATGGGGTCCAGTCACTCAATGTTCAGGAGAAAGAACCAGCATTTTAAGGTCACCTGGAAGGCTAATAGGTAAAGGCTTGTGAGATATGGGCAGGATGTTGCAAAGGTCAGGGGTTGGTACAGAGAAAGCACACTTCCTAGGTCTCACCAGATGACATTTAAGGGAAGGAAAGGGGAATGAGCCCATCCTATCTAACCTAGTGTAACTTTGGGTAGATATCCTCAGAGAGCAGTCCCACAAGTAACTTTGTGTTATACCATATACAACTTTCAAGGTGATAATCAGCACCTTGATCAAAACAATAATGGTATCCAGTGTAGTTCACAGCAATTGTGTAATACAAACTAGAAGGTGCCCAGGAGTGCATTGGCAGCTGTATTTTGGCCAGTTGTACATTTTAGATGGTCTTCAAGGGTAGCCCCACGTAGAAAATGTTACCATAATCCAAACAGGCAATGCCCAGAGCATGTGAGCAAGGCCTCTTGGTCCAGGAATGGCATAACTGGTGCAAAAGATGAATCTGCACAATCACCAACCCTCCCCGCAACTGGACCCCAAGTCCAGTTTAGCATAAGATCTGTGTGGGATAGTTCTATCTTGGCAAGAATCAAAGATGGTACCTCATCAGATTGGGGGGGGGGGCATAAAGATCAGACGCACTGCATCATGTTATGGTTGTGTCATAGCTTGTTTCATCTGATCCAGTTCCTCACAACTCAAGACAATGGGGTCAGAACCCACATGGCATTGCCTGGCTGACCCAAGGGTGAAGTTTATAACTGGTTATCAGCACACTGAGGATAAAACACGCTCCCATGATGGAAGGACTAGAACTCTCTTCTTCCTAATCCAGTCTCTTTAGCCATCACATCACCCTGGCTCTTGGTAAAAACCACACTTCACTGAAAATAGATTCTGCTAATTATTTCTGAACTTTGGAAATTTGGCCTCGACGCATTATTTCAGAGGCATTGATGGTTATTTTAACCTTGGCTACCTTGAAGAGTTGCTTCTCCACGTCCTGCAGCTTATGTTGGAATTGTTTGATGTCATTTTTAAATCCTTCCACCTCCATGGCACGCCTTTTTTCCAGTGCCTCATAGCGCCGGGTCATTAGCTGTAGACGCTTTCCCATCTTTTCTGACCGTTGCTACAAATGTGGAAGCAAAACATTAAAGAGTATAGTGTAATCATCAGATATCTGTCAGCAGTTCTCATGGCAAGATAGAGGAAGGAGCTACCATACCTAAGTTGCCCCCCCAGAGCAGCAAAAGCCACTTACCTTGAACATTTCTTGGCCTAAATTTCCTTCCTCCCGAACCTTAGACAACTGCTCTTCCAATGAAACACACTGTTCTCGAAACATGTTGGCTAATTTCTGCTCCTGGCTCAACTGATCTCTTAATCCCTGGAGGTGAGATGAAAAAAAAATAATATCTTATTTGAGCAATTTAAGCAACTGGAAGAAATCGCAGAAATGGTCACATCAATCAATAACTAAGAGAAAACAGTGACTGGCAAGAAATTTTTATGACATCATTTCAATGCACCAGTGGCATCAGTGTTGGAAGTTGTACGGTACAGGTAGTCTTCGACTTATGACCACAAATTGAGCCCAACATTTCCATTGCTAAATGGGACATTTGCTAAGTGAGTTTTGCCCCATTTTACGGCCATTCTTGCCACAGTTGTTAAGTGAATCGTTGCGGTTGTTAAAGTTAGTAATTCCGGCTGTTGAGTGAATCTGCCTTGTTGGACGGACTTTGCTTGTCAGGTCACAAAAGGGGATCACTTGATCCTGGGACATTGCAACCGCCATAAATATGAACCAATAGCCAATTATCTGAATTTTGATCATGTGACATGGGGATGCCGCAATGGTTTAAGTGTGAAAAATGGTCATGTCACTTTTTCCAGGGCCGTTGCAACTTTGAACAATCACTAAATGAACTGTTGTAAATCAAGGATTTATCTGTATTATATCTAATCTTCAGAGACAACCTAGTGCAACACAGTAGCCGTTACCATAATCTCTGCTCCGTATACTTTGTGAACGTTCTGCTCGGCTCGAAAAACGCATCTGACAACTTTGGGTCTTCTCTTCTTGAAAACTTCAACCTTCCCACTGGGAGGTGATCTCCTGGTGAAACTTTGCTGACGAGGACTACTTCCCCATTCATCCAGGCTAGTATCCTGCTTCGCTGGGCTAGCAACCTGCCAGCTTTGACAACTGTCATAACTCTGATCGATGTGATCGTCGACCGGACTACCATAAACCCTGCTTGGCTTGTGTGCACATCTACATTTGTCCATCTTCCTCAGCAGAGTGTCCTTCTCTGCCATCCAGGATTTTTCATTTGCTCGTGCATTAAACTTCATCTGCAGAAAATCTTTGGTGCTCCCGTACAGCAAACTTTGAGTTTTATGGTACCTGCGGAGAGGCAGATTACAATAAATTAGTAACCAATTTATTGGCCAAGTTATACTTTAACTCCACTAAGAGGTGTGGAAGCGGAAGCAATAGCTGCAGTATATTGGCATGTCCTAAGTTTATGTCTGAATGGCTGCTTTGTCACTATGTGTATTCCAGATTTGAGTCTACATGGATCTGGATCCTAACCCAAATTGGACTAGTCCTCTAAGACTCTCTATCCTGATTTACAGCTCTCCAGGATTGCTTGACAAAAAGATTTATCACAGAACCAATATCATTTTGGTGATTGAATTTGGAACTAATTATCCATGTAACAGCTAGGCTCAATTACAATTATTACGATGGACTCTTTCCCAAGTAATAACATTATCTGGAAGTAACCACTTACAAAACAATCTATCCCACACATACTGTAGCAGAGGTTCAAATCAGAAAGATCAGATTTTTTAAAAAATGATATTTTGCCCAGGGCAGAATAAAATGCTTTTAGAACAACCAACATATCATTCCTTTTGGTAGGTGATCTCAACTGGTCTTTTGCACCTACCTTTCAGTAATGTCTTTGATCTTTTCCTGATCCCTCTGGTGCTGCACCTGAGCTTCTTCAATACGGATGCGTCGATCTTCTAGCAGGGCTTCCATCTGCTCTTTTGACAGCTTAGTCTGTTCTTCTAGTTGAGCCTGAAGAGACTCCACCTGAATCAGGAAAGAAAAAAATCCGAAGAATATGCTGGATTGCAAATAAAACAGCCCTCTTGTTTGCAGGTTTTAGGCAGTTTGATGTAGTGAACTAAGGTGTTGGACTAGAACAGGAATGTCAAACTCACTCAAGGCCCATGGGCCGGATCTGACCCGGAGGGCTGCCCTGGGAACAGTGAAGGATTGGCCCGCGGTGCCTCTGCCAGTGAAAAAAGAGCTTGGGAGGGCAGCGTGCAGCTCTCCCGAGCTCCATTTTTGC